TTTGAGGAAATCATGTTCATCATGACATTGTACCTCTAAATCTTAAACCAGCATATAAGACAGTGTCCTGTTCACCCATACTCAGGTTTCTGCAGCAATCCCTAATGTCTTAAACAGTTTTCCCCCTCCATACAACTAAGGTATGCATTGTTCTCGATCACTTTCGACTATCAACCATCTAAACCAGTTATCCTACCTACCCACCCACCCATCCACCTTTTTTCCCCTTCTTTGACATTAACTAGAGACCAGTTTGATTTCTTGTAGATTGTCCCACATTCTGGGTTCACCTGATTTTCTTCTTATGTTACTGATTTTAACTTCTGTATTCCTCAAATTTTTGTAAATTGAAAGTTGGGTCTAAATGTTTGATTAGATTCAGGTTTAACAGTTTTTGCAGGAATATTTCATAGGCGAAATTGCAAATATTTTGATCATGTCAAGAGTCACAGTGTCTCATCCTGTTTTTATTTATTTAAGATTTTATTGGGAAATTGGAGGGGAACAGTGTTGGGGAAGGGGACCAGCCAAGTTGTTGTTCTTCAATCTTAGTTGTGGAGGGCGCCAGTCACCATCTGGCTTCCTGTCGGCAGCTCGTGGCCTCTAAGCTCAAAGTGCCAAGAGTTCAATCTTAGTTGCGGGTGGGCATAGCCATCATCCCATGCGGGAATCAAACCAGCAGCCTTGTTGTGAAGAGTGCACGCTCTATCCACTGCAGCCTTGTTGTGAAGAGTGCACGCTCTATCCACTGAGCCATCCGGGCGGCAGCTCAGCTCAAGGTGTCGAGTTCAGTCTTAGTTGCAGGTGGGCGTAGCCCACCATCGATCAGGCAATCTTGTTGTTATACCAGCTGAGCCATCCTGCTACCTGTTGGCAGCTCTGTGACAGCTCAGCTTGGGCACAGCGTCACTGGCTCATGTGGGAATCGAACTGGCGGCCCTGTTGCCCAAAGCTCGCTCTCTTAAGCCAACTCTTAACCAACTGAGCCACTCTGCCAGCCCTCGTCCTGTTTTTAGATAAACTAAGTTTGATGTGTTGATTAAGGCACGTCTTTCATTTTAAAGTTCTCGGCAGTTTATACTTAACTTCCATGTCATTCTCAAAAAGAAGAAAATGTTTAATACAAATAAATTAGGATTATGAATTAAATTTAGTCATCTTTAAAAGTTTTTCAGTGTACCACATGTGTGTTCTGATTTAAGGTCAGACATATTAATTTGCTTTTAAATGTCCTTTTTATAATCATTTTTAATCCTGTAGCTTACATGTAGTTAGAGGTATATCTCATTTACTCTTTTCTTTTTTTTTCAATTTTATGTGAGCCTGCTACGAACCTGATGAGTTTCTACTCATTTTTGACATTAAATTTCAAATGGTTAAGGGACTAATAAGTAGACTACTTTTGCCTTCCTGGTGAACTT